TCAAAACAACTCTGAGATACCATCTTCTGTCAGAAAAGCTAAAATCAAAAACACCAACGACAGTTTATGCGGTAGAGGTTGTGGAGAAAGGGGGAACACTCTTCCACTGTTGGTGGGAGTGCCAACTCGTACAGTCACTTCGGAAATCAGTATGGAGATTCCTCAGAAAATGAGAATAAGCCTACCACAAGACCCAGCAATTCCACTCTTAGGCATATATCTAAAAGATGCACATTCATACAACAAGGACATCTGTTCCACTATGTTCATAGTAGCATTATTTGTAATAGCCAGAACTTGGAAGTAACCTAGATGCCCCTCAACCAAAGAGTGGATAAAAAAATGTGGTACATTTACACAATGGAGTACTATTCAGCAGAAAAAAAAACCAATGGAATCCTGAAATTTGCAGGCAAATGGATGGCACTAGAAGAAACCATCCTGAATGAGGTAACCCAGTCACAAAATGACAAACATGGTATGTACTCTCTCATATATGGATTTTAGACATAGATCTGGGGAGTGCCAGCCTACAATCCCACAGCCAGAGAGTCTAGGAAACAGAACCTTCATTCAATGGCTGATGGAAACAAGCAATCTCCCACAGCTAAACACTGAGCTGAACTCAAGGAATCCAGTGACAGAGAGGGAGGACTGATGAGCAAAGGGGTTAAGACTGGGCTGATTTAACCCCCATAAACAGCTGACCTGACAAGGGTTAGCTCTTGAATCCCAGACTGATGGCTGGGAATCCAGCATGGGACTGATCAAGACCCCCTGAATGTGGGTGTCAGTGAGGAGGCCTAGGCAATCTATTGGGCCTTGGGCAGTAGATCAGTATTTATCCAAGGCATACAAATGGATTTTGGGTGCCCATCCCACAATAAGAGATACACTCTCACCCTGGACTCTTGGGGGAGGGTCTAGGCCCTGCCCTGGATGAAACGAGAGACTATGGACAGCCCCATGGAGGGTCTCACCCTTCCTGGGGAAATGAGGGGTTATTGGAGGAGTTGATAGGAGGGTGTGGGAGGAGGGGAGGGAAAGGGAGAGGGACCTGGGATTAAATTAGAAGCAACCTTGTTTCTAATTTAAATTTAAATTTAAAAATAAAAATAAAAAAGAAGTGCTGTGTATTGTGCAACGGTATTTGGAGCTTACCCTCAAGTGGTAACAAGCCACTCCTACTTTGCTATAATTCCCATGCTACAAAAGAGTATATGTGAATCTGTCAAATTGGGAATTAGATTGTGTCACTTGCTTTCTTGCCTTCTATTCCCCTAAATGTCCTCCTGATCCTTAGACACCAAAGCTTCCTGGGACTCTGCTTAGTTCTATAGCCTAATTCCATCCCACATGCAGCCAGATGAGTTTCCTTTGGGTTCTATAACACACACAGACTCTTCCCCCCCCCCAGCTTTTGCATAACTTCCCTTTTGTCCAGAAGGTCTTTGTCTTGGTACCATATTCTGAGAAGTGATCATCATTTGGATTTGGGCTTACAGACATCACCTTAGAGGTTATGCCCAGAGTGGTCACCAAGGCTTTTCCTCGTCACATATTTAATTTCATGCCTGAACACTTATTACCATCATTTCATGTTTACTTTTCTGTGTATACCTTCCTTCCCTTCTCTCTTCTCCCTGGCCTATTCCCTATTATTTGCTATCTCTTTAGTGTCAGTAGCCATCTGAGCACCAGAATTAGAGCAGAAAGGAAAGGCTGCACCACCGTGGAGAGACAGTTAACAAGTGAATTGATCTGACGCATCAAACAATCCTAAAATCCTGTAAGTCAAATACCAGAATTAAAGGGCTAGAGAACAATTGGGGGGAGGAGCTGTTTCAGATGGCACAACCAGGAAAGCTCCCTCGGATATGTGTTATTGGAACAGAACTAAATGCAAATCAACTGCAAGAAACACGTACTCCTATTTCATTCATCACAATATTCCCAGTGATATTATATGGGAATAGTTGGGCATATGCTCTGTTCTCATGACCAATACCGCTTTATGCTTTGACTTCCTAGCTAGACTGAGTTCCATCAATAGGAAATGAGTCTTCTTTTCGGTCATTCTCGTATCTGGCACAGGATCTGCTGTGGTGGGGCTGGTAAAATAAAGGAAGAGGAAGATGGGGGTGCAATGAACCAGGCTGCCACAAATATGCTCAGGACACCTTGGAAACTACTGCCTGAGAAGTTGCCATGTGCTTCTAAGAGTGATGTGAATTTATCTCCTAGAGTAAATTTCACACATAACACGGGTCAATAGTATCTGAATTTCTACTCATTCTTTGGTAAAACTAATTTCTCTCATGTCAGGTTTTGCCTCTCTTTCTGCCTTGACCTAGTCTTGATAGTCTAGGATATTTATTATACACTTTAGTAAGTTGGAAAGTCCTACAGGCAGCTGGATCTTGCAGACTCCTAGGAAGGTGGATTTGGGTGCTAAGCAAAAACAGACTAACTGAACTAACTCTAGCCCTGGACATTACAGCAAGCCTCTGTCTGAAAGTGAATGGGCATTTCTGAACCATGACGATAAAGTGAAGACAAGCAATGACACCCAACATCGAAGGGGTCACCAACAGTCTGCTGCAAAGCGGTCCCCATGGCAGTCTCATGACTCACACATGCTCTGAGCAGATACGATTATTCTCCCCTCTCAATGAGAATTTGGAAAACCCAATAGAAAACTAAGTTACAGCCATATTTGTTAGTGGCCAGCAGAGTAAATTGCAAACATTATAATGTCAAACATTAGAAACAGAGCTGCAGGGTTTTTTTTCTCAATTGCATGCAATTAATTTTCATTGCAAAGGAATTTCAAGGCTAAGTCTACGGAAGAAAATCTTCATGGTGGCAAAAACTGCATGAAATGTACGTATAAACATGCAGGCAAACACATCTAACAAATAAATAAACCCCCATGTTTATCCACAGCCTCTGGTACATCTAACAAATAAATAAACCCCATGTTTATCCGCAGCCTCTGGTACATCTGACAGATAAATAAACCCCATGTTTATCCGCAGCCTCTGGTACATCTAAGATAAATAAACCCCATGTTTATCCACAGCCTCTGGTACATCTAACAGATAAATAAACCCCATGTTTGTCAGCAGCCTCTGGTACATCTAAGATAAATAAACTCCATGCTTATCCACAGCCTCTGGTACATCTAACAGATAAATAAACCCCATGTTTATCCACAGCCTCTGGTACATCCCTCTCATTGCTACTGTGTCTTTCAGTCACTGTTCTGGGTGACTGACAGTCAAGTCTTGCTCTCTGCTGGCTTAGGTCCAGATTTAGTATCCTGAGCACCTGGTTACCACATTGCTTCTTCTAATAAGATTCCATTAAACTGTTCCAATCTTAAAGTTGCTGGAGTTAGACCCTCAACACCTAGTAAGGTGAATTAACAGGTAGGGTTTCCTAACTGCTAGTTCAGGAATTGCTGGTGTTTCTGAGCACACTAGGCTAGACCTTTTTTCTTTTCTTTTCTCTTTCATTGCCTTCCTTCCTTTCTTCCTCCCTTCCTCCCTTTCTATCTCCCTCTCCCTCTCTCCCTCCCTCCCCCCTGTCTCTCTCTCTCTCTCTGTGATCTAAAGAGTATTCTGAAAGCACCGCACGCGGCATTGTCCTCTTGGAAAATGAGAACACACATTGGGATGCTTAAAAGAGTTAAAAAAGTAAAAAATCCCAAATAATTTCCAGTTGGGGAATAGTTAAGTGCATTTAGGAACAGTAATCAGCTGTTATAAGACAACACAGCATGGATCTCTACCCACTATTATAAATACGTGAAATAAAAACCCAAAGAGTCTGAGCAAGACTAACATCCCATTAAAAACCCAAATCCTAAGTGTGTAGATGGCTTTATATAACACTATAAAATACACAAAACTCTAAAAGGATGTATCCCAAGTCATTACGAGTGGTAGTCTCTGGGGAGTGAGACTGAGGATGAAGGAAAATTCCACTTTTTTACTTTATAGATTTGGGTATCATCTGAATTGCTTTATAGCCATTTTATTACCTTGATAATAAAAAAATCAAGTGCTATATTAAAAAATACACATAAAATGCAGCAGTAAACACATCTGTTTAGCTTTAACAGAGCACTTTTCAAACTCGTGTGACCACTGAACCCCGATTTGGGCAGGCAATACTGAAGTCGCCATGCTCAAGGCTTTCCCCTAGCCTTGTCAGCATTTGGATTTTGAGCTGCTGTGGTCATTTGTAAATGAGTGAAAGAGGTTACAGTGACCTTGGAGACTGCCTGACAACTTGTCAGTACCCCACACTACACTAGAACCATTATAAAACTGAAGCGAACACTCTGAAAATGTGCCACTGTTCTCGATACACAGGTAGTGCTAAAAATGTGACTGTTGTTATTTCTGCTACCACTGTTGATTTTAGTTTTATGAATGGCTCTGGTCCAAGGAGCCCAGTAATAATACATGCTGTCATCCCAACAATAACACACCAAAAACAGAGGCGCCGTGAGACATTAGGATACACAATCACAGGTCTAAGTGAGGGTAAAAACTTCCTAGAACTAATAGTCTAGTTCATCCCAGTCAGAGAATTGTGTTGCCTAGGGAGTAATTTGGGAGCTAGCTAGCTGCCCTCTCTCTGGCCCTAGAGGCTACATAAATGTAGAAATGGTGCTCATGTTCGAGCTTCCCAATGGCTCAGGCCATGAGGCAGAAACACAGTAAAGCTGTGGCTTAAATGGTGTCCTTCTACCCAGCATTCAAAGCTATTCAGAGGGCACCTTGCTCATCTTTGGGCTCCTACCGGGGTAGGGTGAGAAAGCAGTGCTAATTAGTTATAAAGATGGTGGTAAGGACATCAAATGCTTTGTTTTTCTCCAGTACTATCTACCAGAAACATGTCTGCAAGCCAGGGGGTGATTACTGCCCCCGTCCCCCCCCCCCCATTTCCTGTTTCCAACCCTTCTTAGATCAGGGTTCTCCGAGGCTCACCTGTCACTGAACTGAACCGCTTCTCCGTTCCTGGTCCAGTGGATGGCAGGCCTTGGGTTGCCCACGGCTTCACAGTGTAGAAGCACACTCAGAGTCCCGCTGGCTAAAGCCACAGTCTGCCCCAGGTGGGTGACCACCTCGGAGGCTGAGAGCTGCTGTGCCGCTGAGATCTTTCGCAAGATGGTGGGCTTGCGGTGAGGCCTGCGGGAGCCGCCCCCAGCCTCCCCAGATGAGCTCCTTAGCGAGCTGCTGAAGCTAGAGACATGTTTATGAGGTGGGATGGCCACGGGAGGAAACCTCTGCTCAGAGGGCTTGTGAAGCATGTCTTGATTCTCCAGGTGGCTGCGGAAGATGTCCTGGGCCAGCTGGGCCACCAGGTGCTTGCTGTAGAGGTCGCGAAGCTCCTCGGGCTGCTGGGACAGGTTCCTGAGGATGTCATCCAGGCGCTTCTGCTCAGCCACCATGGTGAAGGGGAGATGCAAGAGGGCCTGCTCAGCACTGGGATCCTCCTCGGAGGATGCATTTCTTTCTGCGGAGTCCTGCACCTCCCACGAGGCCAGGAGCTCTCCTGGCCAGCCGCCCTGCTCCAGCAGCCGAGACACAATGTCATCATAGCGATTCCCAGGGTCTGCAGTGAGGCCGCGCTTCTCAGCCTTGCTACCGTTGGAGAAGATGCCATTTTGGTGTTTGTGGCTTTGCAAGGCCTCCTTTGGATTGGCCTTCCTCACCTGCAGGGCCTCCTCCTCCTCGCTCCAGAGGCTCAGGGGCCTGGCCGCGAGCTTACGGTTGCCTCCAATGAGCTTAATTACAAACTGCTCCTGGGCTGGCCCGGCAGAACAGGTGTAGATGCCAGCATCTGAGGGCTTGAGACGATGGATTTTCAGGTAGCCAAAGGGGGCCACGGTGACGTGAGAGGAGCTGATGCTGTGCTGGCCGTCCTTCTCCCAGGTGATGAGGGGCTTGCGGAATCTGCGTGTAGGACAACGGAGCACCACAGTAGTCTTGGGAAGCAGATAAGCGAATCCCCCCACGACAAAGTGCAGCTTCCTCTGCCTGCGGGTCTGGATGTATATATTTCGTGCAGCTGCGATATGAGGGCTGTGCTTCGTGGAAGGCCTTCCAGGCCCTGGTTTGAGAGGGATGCCGCGCCGATGGAGAAAGAACCAAGAGCAGGAAAAAACCAGAGTGAAATAGGGCCATTAGAGAGGGCAAGGGACAAACGGAGACAAACTCTTCTGTTGATTTTGGCCAGGGTTGTCATTTACTACCCTCCTGTTTACCTGAGTGGAGTTGGCTACCAGCTGTGGCTCATCAGGCTATCCCACCTTCAAACCCTAGAGCGCTAATGAGGTGTGGTGTGGTGTGGGGCAGCCCCAGGAGAGGTGGAGGTGCCTGGAAGCCCAGGGGAAAGGCGGTTCTCATTAAACGCATTTAAAGAAGACATCTTCATCATAAAGAGAGTCAGAGGACAGAGAGGAGCACATTGCTGTGTTATGTATCTACCTTCTGGGTCATGCAAAGAACCAGGGCCCTAATGTACACGGAGAGAGGACCCCAGAAGTGTTACAACCCTAGGGATTAATATTACACAGAACAAGTGCGTTCAGAGCTGTTTAAAAGCCCACGCTGGCTAACATTAGACTTCATTAGGAATGAGCAACCTCCAGCTTCCAGATCTCCGTATGCCAGCAGGGGACCTTCGCTCTACCCTCCAGAGCTGCTTTTTTCCAGGGGAGAAGAGAACTCAGGCTGGACACTTGAGTGATTAAGATTCATTCCCTTTCCATCTCCAGCTGGGCACCCGAACCACAGCAGCCTTTATGCTCTGCCGCCCGCCCCACAATGCCTCACTACTGTGGGACTCGGGGAAGGTCCGCATGCCCACGCCCACAGCTCTGCCATACTCACTTGCACAGGTAGCCAGCATGCAGGGTCTGATGGAGGAAGAGAAGGGGAGGGGAGGGCACAGTGTGGAATTGACAGCAGTGGAGACCCCGGTTTTCAGCACCCTCCGGCAAATGGCACTTCGAGTTTGGGTGCCCTCCCCACAGCTCACAGAGCACTGGTGGAGGAAGGAAGGATACATGTATGAAAGTCCCACGAACTAGGGTCTCATGGTTGTTCTGTGTGGTCCCTTCAATTCACGATGATATGCCGGGGAAAGTATCAGTCGTTGAAAGACAAGTAGTTACAGCAATGTGGATCTGCCTTGCAGCCTCACTTTGCCCTCCAACACTCTAAGGGTTCCTATGAGCACTTGACTCGCTCTTAGTGACATATGACCTAGGCTTTGGAGTCACAGAAATACAGAGTCCCGTGTCCAAATCTCAGCCAGGTATTTCAGTAGTTGGGAAGCTTGAAGCTCTTTGCACTGTTTCTATTTTCCAAGTCTCCGAGTTAAATGAGAGATTACAAGACAAGACAATGCTAACCCAATAAATGATATGCCTCCCACTCTAAGTGTTTAGCCTCCAGGAGTAGCCACTCAAACGTGGAGGCAAAAGTCAAATGTATAAAGAGTTTAGGGAAATGCACAAACACTGGAATGACCATATCAGAAAGAAAAACAAAAGTAAGTATTGGTGAGGGTGTGGAAAAAAATGAGAACCCTGTCCCCCCATACATTGCTGTAAAATTATATGATCCCTAGCAACCGCTCCCAGGAAAAAGAGTTTATTAGTTTTGATGAAAAGAAAACGTACTACAGGACCCAGTAATTAGACTAGTACATATCTACCCTAGAGAAAAGGTATACATCCACACAAAGACTTAAGTGAAAATGTTCACAACTGCACTGGCATTGTTTAACAACACTAGACTACTTCTAGTAACCAAGAAGTAGAAACAACTCACTGCCTACTAATTGTGGAATGGATAAACAAAGTATTGACTAGTTATACTAATGAAATGTTATCTGATCATATAAGGAAACACGGTCCTTATTTGAACTATAACACAGACAAAACTTAAGAACAATACACTAAATTGAATTTTATAATAGTTCAATTATGTGTCAATGAAGTCGTTTATAGAAGAAACAGTAGTTAAGGAATTTAGTCAAATTGTAACAGTAGAAGGCAGCTTCTGAGATACTATAAAACCACCACTAATAGTTGCTCAAAGCTGGTGACGTACAGGGGACTTGCTGACCTCTGCCTTGAGGATGGGGGAGTCTGGTGGGAGAGGCACAACACAGAAAAAGGAGAAGAATTCCGTGCACAAGTCCAATGCAGGCTGGGGGCAAAACCAAGCCGGTTTTGCTGCCCAGGGCTTGAGTTGAGTGTGATTAGGAGTGTGAGGGGAACGCTGGGCCTGACTTTGGAGTCCTTTCATTTTCAGACAGGTTTGGAATTGGTCCACAGAGCAATGGGAAGCCATGAACTGAGAAGTGACATGACAAAAGAGGCGTTTGAGAAGGTGAATCTGGCAACACCATGCAGAGCAGCAGGGAGGGGAGACGGGACACAATGGAAGGGCCGCCACAGCCTGCCTAGAGATGATGAGGGCCCCACAGCCTGCCTAGAGATGATGAGGGCCCCACAGCCTGCCTAGAGATGATGAGGGCCTGAACCTAGGTCATGGCAGCATGCCACTGGAAAAATGACAGTAAAAACAACAAAAGACTATCTCATACTTTGAAGTTTTATACGGGAGTAGGTTGAAATGACACTGATCTGTGGGACAGACTGTGACATCTGCCACCCCAAGAGAAATTCAAGATGTCAAGGACCCGTGCACGTTGAGATCAAACCCCTGCTTGTGTCTCCTGATGGCTATGGAATCCAGATCCTATCTGACATCTGTTAGGCTGTAAATGACAGTACCAGATCCAAGGGTCAGGTGGGATGGGGCAAAGAGCCTGAGAGCTTTAAAACATGGCTACTTTAGTTTGGTCAAGTAGGAAAACAGACTGTTAGCTAGACTGCAGGCAAAGGTCAGCTGAGACTTTAGGAGCGTAGTTACCGCCTCTCTCACATCTTTGAAGTGGGGAAGCTAAGCTGAAGTTGAGCCTCTCAAGCCATGTCTGATAACCATGGTGAGGAGATGATGCAGGGGCAGCTTCTCAGGTGATGGGGACACCTACCCCTGGAGATCTGTCATCCCACCCCTACTTCAACCACACAGCTCTCATTTTGTTTTAGATTTAAAAACCGTGTATGTGCACACTTGTATTTGTCCACCACACAATTAGAAGCCGGAAGATGACTACAGTTTCCTATTTTTGTCACTCTCCACCTAATTCCCCTGAAGCTAGGCTAGAAGCCAGGAAGCCCCAAGGGACTCCTATGATCGGGAGATTATATCTCACCATTCCCAGTCTCTCCTTAGTGTTTGTAATTTCCATTCATCAATCTTGATAGCTCAGAACTTTAGATAAGAGTTAGCCCCTCCTAGTTTCCTAGATAAGACTTTTTCTTCCCAGGGAGACCAGCAAAGCCTGAGGGGGACCTAGACTATGGCCCTTGGTCCATCCACTCAAGGTGGTGTTGCAGTGTTTACCTAATTTCTCTTTTCTCCTGAAAGCAAAGCAGGAAGGCAGAGAGCCACCATCATGACAAGGGTTGAGTTTAACCAGACACAGGAGCTTCACGTCTCATTTAACCATGAGTCTGCCTACATGACGGGCACCGATATCTCCATTTTGCAGACAATCGCACTAAGGGTTAGAAACATTAAACAATGAGCCCTGTGTTATGCTGTTGGTATGAGACAGAGGGTTTGGAGCCAGGTTTGCTTGTCTTTGTGTCTAAACTCTCAACTCACAAGATCCTGTTCCAAAGGTCTACTTGCTTAATGTGGTCCAGTTCAGTGGGCTCCTTCCTTTGGTGCTTAAACAAAAAGTGTCCTTCTTTCAAATTTGCACGCAGAATATCGCCTTTTATGACGCTTTTGTGTCCTACATCCTCCAAAGGCCACAAATGTCAGGAGGATGGAAGGGGTGGCAATTATACATCTACAGTTCTCCCTCCACAGTCCGTCCATGAGCCCATCACCCGATAGATGCTTCACCAGGAGGCTGTCTTTGTCACAGCCATCTGGCACAGACAACGGGACTCTTTTCTGTGTAGGTTTTCTTACTATGATTTCTTTTTCTTGTGTAATGCCACAAAACCACCAAGCAACATGTCTGAGTACACACATGTTTAAATATGCACACATTCTTGCTCCACCCTTCCATTCTTGTATCCTGCTGAAATACAAATTGTTTCTAACATACAAAAACAACCATTGTCCTTTCTGTTCTGAAACATCTGGGATGAGACACAGCCAGAGGCAATTGTACTGGTAAATTATAATGATAATGATAATTTAGATTCCTTTGCAACCTCAATGCCCTTAGCAAGCACTATCAGAGGGACTCTAAAATAGACTGATAATGTAGGAAACAAAAATCCCATGCTGAGAGGTCAGGAGGCTTAATTTCCACAGCTTGCCTTTTCCTTCTGGAATTCAGCCTCTCTGTGACACACATTTCAACCATCAGCAGCTCCAAACTGTGAATTGCATATTAAGAACTAAAAAGCCCATGGGTCAGTAAAGTCAATCTGAAAGCTTCTATTCAAGAAAAAGGAAAGGTCTTGAATGTGGTTTGGATGCAGCAACCTTGTTGCCAGTGGCTGAATTTGCTTGTACAGCAATGGTTTTAAGACTTCTCTCTCCACGGAAGGCACACAGGTCTTTGGAGTTGTGAGCTGGGTAGTTAAAGGCAACTCAAAGAAATTCTCGGGGCCAAAAACAGTCGAGCTGAGTCTTTGAAGCCAGGTGTAAATGAATTCATACCAGGGATTATTTAGGGAAGCAGGTTGGTTGGAGGTATACGTTTGGGATCCCTAACTCCAGGTACCATCTGGAGCTGTGAACACTTTCCCAAGTGCAGGCAACCGGGAGAAATCAAGTTCTCTTGCTGGGAAGTTGTTCAAGTTTTAGAGTCAGGAAACTAACAGTAAAGAGGCAGGATTTCCTTGGCCTCCTTTTCCTAATAAATCACATCCTTTATTGTAACTTGGAAGAGAAGAACTAGGGAGGTCTTGCCCTTCCTGAGCAGAGACTGGAAACATCTGGGAGGAGGACATGGGAGTGGGAGTGTCAGGAGGATGGGGTTAGGTGGAAAAAGAAAGTGAAGAATTCTGTGTCCTGGGCTTGTTCAAGGGGGATCTGTTTTATAATCGCAGGTTTCTGATTTTCAATTGTTGGGTGAGGACTGGCTGCATAGCCCAGGTTCCCTTAATAAACTAGATCCCCATAGTCTGGTCATTGTGCATTCTGTAGTAGAAATGCTTGCAAATGTCATTCCACACTGTTAGGAGAGCTTTTCACTCTCTTTTCTATGCATGTGTTTGGGGTGACTTCTCTCCCCTCCCATAACTTGGATTCTCTTCTCCTGAGGAGCAGACCTACCTCTGACCAGTCAGAGAGAAGCCACTCACTGGGGCAGTCATCTTTCTTGCACACTTGCTGGGAGGTTGGTTTGGAGGCTGAACAAAAGGTCTCCGGAAGCTCCAGGAAGCTGCCATCAGCCATACGCTGTTTGCAGAGAACATCACGCTTCTGAACTCCTCCCCCACAGGTCCTGGAACACTGGGGAAGCAAAAAGGGTCAACACAGGCAAGGATTTTGACCACCAGCTTATTCTTGGTTGAGTAAAGAAGAAAAAAACCATATATATATATATATATATATATATATATATATATATATATATATATATATATATGCGCGCCAGAAGTCAGGCCAAAGGGTTTTGCTTCTTGTCTTTGAAGTGAATTTTGTAGTAAAGGTTTTGTAACCCCTCACTCATAATCTCAGGTATTTTACTTGAGCATCCAGGAATTCAGGAGCCCTGGAATATTAGAAATTTGCCCCTGAACTGTGTAGCCACTCAAGAGAACTGGTTTAAGAGGTGAGTATCATAAAGTGCTCAACATATTTATGATCCAATGAAAATAACCTGTGCTTCTTCCAGAACGAGCAAGCGCACCCTCCTGCCATCAGAACTAACCCTAAAATTAATTTGTAGAGAGGACTGTCCTCTCCCTCCAAGTGGGTGCACTCACTCAACCACACTGGGCAATGTGAGATTCAGGGGCCAACTTTCTGAAGAACTCCTCTGGGCTGGTGATTTCTAAGGGCACCGGGAGCCAGAGGCACTGAAATCTGGTATGCAAGAAAAACAGCCTCATGTCAGTGGTTTTCAGAGGGACCGCAGTAAAACACTTTGTTTACATGGAACTTAATAGTTATAATCTGGCTGCTTGAGGCAGGAACGAGGCCTCCTGGGTCAGAGATGGTTGGCGTTTTCCAAGTATTTGTCCCTTCCCTTTTAAGGGCCCTCAGTTTTTATCATGGTACATGGTTTTTCTGTATAGGCTATATTTGGCAAACTTCTTTGAAGGCAGACACAGCCACTGGACTAAATGATGACCCATGGGCCATAAACAGATGCGTGTGCACAATTTCAAAGACCTCATCTAAAGAGAAATCAACATTCCCTCCCCATTCCTTGCTAGCAGAAATGGGAATGCTGTATGAAAACTGTGGCTTCCATGTGGTATATAAAAAGACAGACCAGGCTTTATTCTCGACTGAGAAGGCCTGACTGCTTCTCCTTATGGGAAATACCTTTCTACTTTTTGAAGCCATTGTCACTTTGAGATTTCTGTTATTCCAGCCAGATATAACCCTACATAATGTATACCAAACCATGGCTTAACTAGCTTGGTGCAGTGCATCCCAAACATTTCAGGGAACTTTCTGGCTTCTTAGAAATAGCCTCTAGCCTTTCACTTGCTGTCCTTGGGTTTGTTGGGACATTAAGTCTAGGTTCAAAAGCTATGAGTTTGCATTGAAGGCATGGCTCCACTCTCCTTGGCAGTGGTCTTGAGAGGTAGGTAGCCAATAAGACACTAGGGTTGAATCGTACCCCCACTCCCACCCCCAATCAACTAGGGACAAGAACTGTAGGACTCATGTCATTAGTCAGAGAAACGGGACCTGAGTCCTGCCAGGAAAGCTATTAATGGATGACTATCTAAACCTGGTTCCAGGGACCCCAAGCTTTATAAGATTATTATACAGTGAGAAGTAAGGAACAGGTTTAGACCGTTGCTTTCTCTTATAAGAATCAAACCAAGGACTGGAAAGGTGACCCAGGAGTGTCAAACACTGGTTGATCTTCCAGAAGACCTGGGATTTGATTCCCAGTGCCTACATGGTAGTTCACAACTGTCTGTAACTCCAATCCCAAGGTATCTGGCATTCTCTTTTGACTTCTTTGGGCATTGCACACAGGGGGTACATAGACAAAGATGCAGGCAAAACATCCATACACACACAATAATTAAAAAAAAGGAAAAAGAAAAAGAAGTCAAGACAGCCCAATGGGCTTGTCAATCACTGGGCAGTAAAACAACCTTCAGGAAATCTGTCTATTTTAGAAACTTAAAAAAGCAGTATTTATGTACTTGTGTTGTGTAATGCAGCTGTGTGTGTGTGTGTGTGTGTGCGTGTGCGCGTGTGTATGCATGCACATGTAGGTATGCATACTTTGCTTCATATATGGCAGTTCAGAGGGCAACTGTATAGAATCAGTTCTTTCCTTCCACCTTTAAGAGGCTTCTTGGGATCAAACTTAGGCCACAAGGCTTATGCAGTAAGTGCCTTTACTGACTGAGCATCTTGCTGGGCTCCCGCCTAAAACTATAGGTTGATACAATGGTTTATGGCCATTGTCCACTCTGACACTGTGAGAGTGTTTTTCTCAGCAGTGGTCCCTCCAGCCATTGTACCACTCTTACCCTAGGCCACTTTATACTGTTATATAATAAGCATTACCTATTTTATCCTATTGTACTCTCTTCCTACTTCTTTCAATGGAGATCACATGGACTGAGAAATGGAGAGGAGTCCAGAGCAAGATCCCAATTAAAGTCTTAGCCTGAGCTTTTAAACAGTACTAATCCCAAGTCCAATTTTAGACTATTCCATGAGAAATTCTGAATGTATGCACTAGCTCCTAGTACCTTTTTAAAAAAGAACATGATGTCATAAGTCATTCTCTGCTAGTTAATCCTACTGTGTGGCAGAGCCAAAGCAGGGGCCCAGGGAGTCCTCTGTTGGCCCAAGTATGGTTTGTTTGCACTGTGAATGCTCTGAGACCATGAAGTCATTGTGTGATATTAGAAGGGCTGTAGATTTCACCTAGAAGGGTTTTAAACATAGAGCCTTTCAAACGGTCCAGAACAATGGTGAACAACTTTTTATTTTATATTGAAAAATTTAAAAATTCAAATGAAAATAATGCTATTGAGTCCCATAGTAAGTGTGTGTTTTGTGTGTATGTATGTATGTATGTATGTGTATGCACTTGTATGTGTATTTTTTTCAAAATTATAGTTGGAATGCACCACCTTTGGCAAACACCCTATTAAGTAAATCTTTTTCTCACGTGACAGATAAAAGAAGTGAAGGCCCAGAGAGATGAACCTGCACAATCGAGGCCACACAGATGCTGGAGCTGGTTCGTTTCCAGTCAGTTTGATGTTCAACAAGTCATCCTGAGCAGTGGGCACAGCTACAGAATAGGCCTGAGCTCAGCCTGTCTTCCGGTGATGGCAGCACTTCCTCTCTGTTTGCAGAACTCAGAGGACTAGCCCCCACCTCTCCTTAAGGCCAAGAGTTCTAGGCTTTTTATGTCCTCCATGGAGGGTTGATTTGCAATACAATTCTTAGCTCCCACCACGTGACTCTCCTTGATTTGCAGGACTTAGTCCATGGTCTGCATTTGGGGACCAGCACCCTGAAATACTTTCATTATATTTTGAAGACCCTAGAAACATGTTCTGCCTAAGTTTTTCGGATTCCGGAGTTGACAGCCAATATCTGAACATAGGTCCTAGACAATGAATAGCCAGCCTGTATATGGTGGCCTTCAGAACACTTCCTAACTGTCATGGAGCCAAACAGTTCCTTCTAAAAGCTTTTCTGGTGTCTTTTGGCTTTGATTAAGAAAAAAATATGTGGTCTCCAACTTCTAGCTTTTTTTCCCCTAGTGCTTTGCATCTGTTAGAAAAGCACAGCCCTACTGATTTGCACTGCTGACCTAGCCCCTTGCCTTCTTTGGGACTCTAGGTGGTTTTGTGGAATTTTTATAATAAAGGGAAACATTTTAGTTCTTATTACATACAATTCAATAAACTACCAGAGCAGTGGTTCTTAACCTGTGGGCTGTGACCCCTTGGGGGTGTCAAACAATCCTTTCACAGAGGTCACCTGAAACCACTGGAAAACAGATATTTACATTATGATTCATAACAGTAGCAAAATTACAGTTATGAAGTAGAAACAAAAATAATTTTATGGTTGGGGTCACCACAACATGAAGTATATTCAAGAGTCTCAGTATTATGAAGTTGAAAACCACTGCTCTAGAGGATTTATTGTCACTCATGGTACACCCCTCCACTGTGCCTAACGGTGCCTTTGGTGACTACAAGGCCTCATACACTAGACTGTGTCAATCTTTCTGGTACATTCTTTGAGACTCTACCATGTGCTAGGGCGCCAGTTGGAATCGACAATCATCCCTCTCTGGGTGCAGACACTTTTTCTGCCCAGGTATTTGGTCATGTTGTTTACTATGCCTACAGTCCCTTGCTAATTGATAAACTTCTAAGATATCCTATAGAGCCCAGCTGACAGGCCGCTCTTAGGATGGGTACCTTATCTCCTCCATAAAGGCTCATAGTTCATGTGTCTGCTATTTCCTCTGCCTGCCTGAACACATCTAGGATTAGGAATCTTCTGAGGAAGAGAGAATCCATCTGTGGACTCCCCAGTGCAAAGTGTAGTGTCTGGCAATGAATGAGCACTTAATAAATGTTTCCTGAATTGGTGACTGGATGAATAAAACAAGCCCCAAATGCAGATGTTTCAAAGATGTAAAGCAAGCATCCAGCTGTGACAGATTCTTGTTTTATCAGACTGTTTGATCATTACAGGAAGCTGTGTCCCCAGTCAGCAATGGGATTTGGCTTTGCTGGGCATTCTGACATTCCAGGCATGGGAGAGGACTAGCTCCTATCTATCCCCCCTTTCATCTATCTATCTATCTATCTATCTATCTATCTATCTATCTATCTATCTATCTATCTATCTTCTATCTCTCATCTATCTATATCATCTATTTTCTATCTCTCATCTATCTATCTGTCATCCATCCATCTTCTTCTAAAGCTTGCATCATCTTTGCTTAATACATTTCTTCAGTATGTTTTCATGGATGAAAAAGTATCTTTATCAATCTCTGAAAATCATGAAAGATGAAAATTTGCAAAAGGAAAGACTTCAAATTCTGTGGTAACTTTGTGACCATGTTGAGATGACTCAGTGAGGCTTCAGCTCCATAAGTGAGAGGCAGCATGCAAAAAGGAAATGTTTATAGATGAGAGAAAGCAAGGGAAATTTAATAAAATGAAATGAAAAATATTTGTCTTGATGAATCATCATTTAAATCACATTCTGGTATGAAAAGGTAAATCTCTGGTAAAGGGTATTTTAAAATGTATGCAATAAAAACAAAT